AAGATGAATGGTCTGCAACACATGATTATTTAATGATAATCACAACCATCGACTCTGACCAGTGGTTATATGGGTGTCAGGAGGTTTCTGGTCAAGCTTGTACTAACATTTCAAGCTTATCTCACCTTGCAGAGGTACTTCCTTGGGGTAGCTCAACAATGAAGTATGCAAAGCTTGAGCTCAATCATTTTCCAGAAATACCATATTTTGCTGTTAGTATACCCGATTCAAGAAAATCCACCATTGTTTGGTCGGAGTATCAATCATCCAGCGGCACAGAGTATGATGTGGAATTACCAGGAGTGTTATCTAAAAGGTCAAAGGTTCTTGATATTGCTTCTGATTCTCTTTTTGCCAACATAACTTTAAAATCTGTAGTAAAGAGTTGGAAGGTGTACATTTTTGACATTGAACCCATAGACTGTGATACCAGAAGGTCAGTGTTGATAGCAAGAATTCATGTACCCTGGTTCAATGAAGATGTGTACAATTTCTCAAGCAATGGTTCAACAAAACTTGTATTAAAATTACATCACCCAAAGCCAAAAGGAAACAAACACCATGTCCAGATGCATCTGTGGTTAGATCCGAAGTGTTCATATAGAGTGAGTGCTCAATATGACTTTTATCAAACACTTGGCCAGATATACAGATTTTATGCGGTACAGCTCTTTTGTTGGACATTTACAATTGTATTGCTAGTGTTTGCATGGCAGCTCTCATCAATCAGCATTGAACAACAGTGTGAGTCATTCTTCAGTCTGATTTCAAATGTGTCAAAGAGCCTCAGAGGTCTGCTTCTGGTTGCACAAAGTCATTTCTTTGTCTCACAATTTGTTCTTGCATTTTTTTTACTGAATGGTGAGAGTGGCCAACATAGCTGGCTTCCGAACATTGATGACTTGAAGACCTTTATTTGGTTGCTGCCACTGGTTCTAATCATATCAACAGCTGTAATTATTGTCATTGCTTTATTTGTGTGGACTGGCCTGTTTGTAAGGTTTGGTGGTTTAATTTTAAGTCATTTGAAATTGTCACTTTATGTGCAAACTGGAATTGGAGTTAAGGACTGGATATGTGGAACTGTCATCATTATAATATCACTTCTTTTCTGTGGAACTTTGAGCCTTATTTTGATCTTCATTTTGTGTCTTTGGAGAACTTGGAAATATGCCGCTCTTGTTAAGATATGCAAGAGTCAATTACCTAAGCAGAGAAACCATAGGCAGATAACCATAATAGAAAGCCTGGAAAACTTTGGCTTGACTTTGTGTGTCCTGATTTTGCTACTGATCATTATTAATTTCCCAGCGTTGGTAGTCTGGGCAAAAAACTTGACATTTTCTTACCATCTTCATTCAGACCACACCACTTTAATTTCAATTATTATTGGTGTAAACATGATTGGATTTCAGCCACTGATAAAGGTTCCTCGTTCTCTGGTGTACCTGTGCTTTATAACAAGTATTGCT